CTATAATAGTAGCTGCTTTCAACCTTGGAAGTGAAGATTTTTACAAAAAAAAAAAAAGACACTTGATAGCTCGTTTTGCACAATGATTTGTTCTGGGAATTTTTTTGATTGTGTAAGCCAGGGTTGGCAAAAACCCGGGTTTTATTTTTAAAAAAACCGGACCTAGTGGGTATTTTTAGACCTTTGGGTATTTTTAGGTTTTATTGGGTAAATTTGAGTTTTTTTGGATTTTTTTTTATTTCATATCTGTTAAATTTTTTTTGTTTTTTGTTTAATGATATTGAAAATTAATATAATTTTCTACTTTATTTAAAATATATATTTTATATTGTTATTTAACAATTTATAAAAAGAAATTTTTAAATTATTTTGAAAAAGATTTTTAAACATAATTTAAAACTGTAATATAAAAAAATGACTTCACGTTAAATCTGTATGTATTGGTTTATTTTAAACATTCTGCGGATTGGCCTTGTTTATAAAGGTTCGTATTTCGGAGTTAAAGAGTTAGGAGAGGGTTGTGACCACAATAAGGTAGCCTCCTCAACTGTAGTGGCCTTCTCAGACTTGGGAGCTGAACAACATAAAAGAAAAAAAAAAACGAAACCTATAAAAAATATTTCAATAAAAATAGCGATAATAGGCTGGGTGAATAAAAAAAGCAATTGCTCACAAGCAATTGCTTTGAGTAAAAGTAAAAGCTAAAAAGCAAACACTCATAGCGAAAAATGTCAGTACTTGTTTGTTTCTCAATTAAAGTAAGCATTTACTCTTCAGCTTCTGCTTAGGAGTAAATGCTGCTACCAATAGAAATTGTTTGTTTTTATTTTTTCATTTAAAATTGGCTGCTTTTAGTGTAAATCAAACAATAATAATAAATAAAATGAAAATAATGATAACAAATGTGAAGGTGAAATATTTACACCATTGCATATATGTGTGTGTGTGTATATATATATACCCTAATTATATATATATATATATATATATATATATATATATATATATATATATATATATATATATATATATATATATATATATATATATATATATATATATATATATATATATATATATATATATATATATATATATATAGTTAAAGCTTTTTCTCTTGTATGCGCGATTGCTCATAAAAGTTTTCTTGCTCAAAAAAAGCAATTGCTAAAAATTTTTATTCACATAATTGCAGCAAATACTTCAAAAACTCGGAATAAAAGCAACTGCTCAATTTTATTCACCTGACCTAATATATTTCCAAATAATGTTTCAAATATTAGTAAAGCTACTCTGATATCTGTTATTGTTGGTTATAATAATTAATAATAATAGTTAATAATAATTTAGTTAACAATAATAATTAATAACTAATTTAGTTAACAATATAATAGTTATGTTAGTGTTGGTATAAAATTATAAAATATCTTAAATAGATCATAAAATTATAAAATATCTTTAAAAAAAACCAATAAAACCCAGATTGCCTGGGTTTTATTGGATTACTTTAAGCGGGTTTTATTGGGTTTTATTAAGCAGGTTTTTTTTGGGTGGATTTTTTAATGCCAACCCTGGTGTAAGCTAATACATAGATTTGGATAATCATCTGAATTTACATTTGGCCAGTAAACTAATGAGATGAATTTACAAATGTCAACTCTTCTCTTTGGTAGAACAATAAATGCTAAAGGAGCTAGCATTGCTTGGGAGTCTTGCATTATTTAATTTAAGTATAAATCATATCATCACGCTATAATCACTACTTTTTTATTCTTGAATCTCTTGCTGAACTGTTTGTAATTCTTTACAAGTTTTGGGATAAACAAGTATCAGCTACAATCATCTTGACACTCTTGACACTCTTGATTTGAATATACCAGACGGTGGCGTCTGAATGTTGATCCCATCTTGAGATAACTGTCAACAAATGGTTGCTATCTTTGCTGGTTGATAACTTTGAAGATGTTAATAATTTGGTTGCAGTTTTAATTTTGCTGTAGTTGTCGTATTTGTGGATGAATTTTCTTTCTTTCTTGCTGGTACTTGCTCATCTGAATCTTTAGACTCTTGATATTCTGCCTTAGACTTTGATTCAGAAGTTGAAGATGTTGCTGTTGCAATTACTGTTGTTGAAGTAAGCTTTAAGAACATTTTACTTCTTTTGGATGGATGAATAATTTTTGAACTTGCAGCTTTCCCAGTTGTATAATCTGAACTTTGATCTCAATCTGAAGATGATACGATCTTTTGTCATCATTGCAGAACCATTCGCTATCTTTATTTGTAATGTCAAAAACTTCATTTAATGGATTGTACTTTCTTTGTTTTACTCATTTATCGTACATCTTCAACACTTGATTCAGTTTTGTCTGTATGACTTGAATTAATAAAATTTTATCTCTTTTGCCATAAACTTGTTACTTCTTTCTCAGTTTGCTTTATGTGTCTCGTCTCCTTTTGATGGATTCACCCACGAACAAATAAGACCAACAATTAAGATTTTGAGTGATGTCCTGCTGTTACCTTTCAGTGTTATCTTACAGGAACAGTTCTTCTATCCCTATGTGACTCATAAAAGCATATAAAATTCTTCATCAAGATCGTCTTCTTTCTTTCAGTAGCAGAAGCACTTTTTTTATAGGATTGAAGATAATACTTGAATATACTTATAAAAGTAACTTCAAGCATTATCTTAGGTAAGTCATTATCTTAAATAATATTTTATTAAATATTATTACAATAGGACTTATATTTATTATAAATAATAAATATAAGTCCTATTGTACTTCTAAATCATTTGACTGCAACTTGAATAATATAGATTTTATTATTATTATTATAAGAATTATTAGCATTGCTCAATCAGGCAGCTTATATAGTCTAAATCTTGTTAATTTCCAAAAACTTCTAGAAGACTCCAGAAAATTCTAAGAAGTTTCAGAGATATCTTAAAACATCCAGAATAGTCCAGAAAGTTCTATAAGCTTCACCAAAATTCTAGGCTTGCAAACATTACTTATACACCATTTTAAAATTTTCATGTTGTGGGTGATCTTTTTTAAAAGTTAATAAGAATAAAGCCAATTCATCACTTTTGAGCAAAATGAAAATGTCGAAGATAATATTAATGTTAAAATAAGTTTCGAAAATAGACTCCCCTCAAAGCCGTTTTTGAGATCTATTAAAGGAGGGCCACTAGTCATTATTTATTTTTTAAGTGGAAATGAACAATTATTTGGTAGACCACCTCAAACAGGTCTCAAAAATAATCTAGTGGGGAGGAAGGGGGCATATATATATGTATATATATATATATATATATATATATATATATATATATATATATATATATATATATATATATATATATATATATATATATAGAGAGAGAGAGAGAGAGAGAGAGAGAGAGAGAGAGAGAGAGAGAGACACACACACATAGATATACATATATATCTATGTGCATATAAAGCGTGTACACAAATTAAATCTGAAAGAATAGGTAAGCCATTTTTTTCAGTGGTTATATTAAAATCTTTTAAATTTTTTTGTATTTTGTTTACAACGTGTTGTGGTTTGTTTACAACATGTTGTGTTTTGTTAACAACATGTTGTGGTTTCAAAAAAGTGTATTAGTTTTTTGATTTAACTTAAAATTAGTTTTAAAAATGACAAAAGAAGAAGACATAAGTGAAAAAATTATGCACAAATATTTGGAAAATCCCAATAGTAGCTACAATTTGATAACTAAAGCGGTACTAATATATCCATACACGGTTAGTTGTGTAATCCAACATTTTTCTGAAACAAAATCGATCAAACAAAAATCTGGTGGTGGAAGAAAGAAGGGTTTTAAAGATAAAAAACTAGTTAGAAAACTGGTTAACAGTTTTGAGACTAGCCCAAGCCTTTCAATCAGAGAGTGCGCAAACATTTATGAACTTAAGTTTTAAAGTTTGAAATAAACATGGTTTTTATTCTTTCAAAGCACAAAAAATGCCCAACCAATCTGAAACTCAAAAATAAGTGCAAAAACCCGCTGCAGAAAGTTGTGTGACAATTTTATTTCTAAAAATTTCTGTATTATTGAAGACGATGAAACTTATATCAAGTACGATCATCAGCAAATTCCTGGTGCCGTCTATTATATTGCCAAATGTAGAGAAAAAGTAGATAAGAAATTAAAAAACATAAACAAGTTAGCTAAAAAAATCTTGATTTGGCAAGCTGTTTGCAGTTGTGGCAAAAAATTAGCACCTTATATTTCTCAGTCCACACTTTTGGGTCAAATATATGTTAAAGAGTGTTTATAAAAACGCCTTTTACCTCTCATTAAATCACACAATAAGAGACCTGTGTTCTGGCCAGATTTAGCTTCAATTCATTATTGTAAACTAGATTTGTTTTTCATATTCTGTGCACAAGCTTATGAGTACCACCAAAGCAAAAGTTTGAAATTTTATTAGATTCCCACAGGAACAATTTGATTTTTTTCTTTATATTTGAACTTCTTATATTATTATATTAAAGTTATTACTTGGTTAAAAATAAAATTTGAAGAGTACTTTTTTTAGTTTTCTTAGTTTTTTAGTAGTTTTTTTAGTTTTTCTACTTTCACATTTATGTTAAAGAGTGTTTATAAAAACGCCTTTTACCTCTCATTAAATCACACAATAAGAGACCTGTGTTCTGGCCAGATTTAGCTTCAATTCATTATTGTAAACTAGATTTGTTTTTCATATTCTGTGCACAAGCTTATGAGTACCACCAAAGCAAAAGTTCGAAATTTTATTAGATTCCCACAGGAACAATTTGATTTTTTTCTTTATATTTGAACTTCTTATATTATTATATTAAAGTTATTACTTGGTTAAAAATAAAATTTGAAGAGTACTTTTTTTAGTTTTCTTAGTTTTTTAGTAGTTTTTTTAGTTTTTCTACTTTCACATTTATTTCGTGTACACGCTTTACACGTATACATGTTTAAGAAAATAGAATACCTTTTGAGATGTTTCCTCAAATAAACTTGTTTTTAAATATAATTCAATCTTTTCCTGTCTCTTATTCATGTTTAACTGTAATCGATTGAATAAAAGATTGACTTGACTATAAAGTTGCTTTACACAGTCAATTGTATCAATAAAATCTTCTGTTTTCATATTTTGATCTTCACTATTCTTCCACCAATTAATAATTTGAATGCCTTCTTGTTGAAGATGTATCAATCGTGAATTACAAAGAATTTCATTTGATTTTTCTTTATGCAACTCCAGTAATTTTAAGAAATCTTCTTTTGAATATACTGGATCAGACTTATTTAAATTTGACATTAGATTGATAGCATATTTTGCTGCACTTCGACATCCAACCATAAAAGGTTCCACTTGCTGTAAACAAATGTAATTTATCAGAACTCATCAAATTAGTATAATAAAGAAAAAGAAGTATAGCTTAACAATAATGAGTGGCAAAAAATTATGAATGGTGAAAAACATAACTTTAAAAGATACCGTTCTAAATTTAATCCATTTCTGATGATCATACTCAAGCGTGCCACCAAATACAATCGGAAGATTACTTTTATCAATCTCATTGTGTAACTTTTCAAGTGATGAAATAAGCTGAAACTAAAATTTAAACAAAAACTAAAAATTAAAAATGCAGAAAAAAGATATTAAAGATTGAAAAAGTTTTTATGGCACTAAATGTAACTTTTGTAAAACTTAACATTCAAATGTTACAGCAAGCCACGGCAGTATTGGAGAACTTTAACTCTCATTTGCACCCACATTCCTATAAACAGGTTTACACAAGATATTTTTGGCTGACACAAAAGTAAAAAATTAAGAAATTTTATTGACACATAAAATTCCTTTCAATAATATTTTAAATTGCAGGCTATAAACTTCAGCAGGCAAAAAAAATTTTATATTTGAAAAATATAAAATTATAAAAGATTTTTTTTATATACATATTCGGAGCGGTTACAAGAAGAGTTGTAATTAGTATTACTGTTGCATTAAAAATAGCGTTTAAAAGGACTTTGCTTTTTTATTGTGTCACTTGCTAAAATTTTTCTATTAGCATAGAAATTTAGAAGAGAATTTCGAATTTAAAAAAGAATTTAAAGAAATTTTTCATATAAGAGAAAGTATCAATTGTAGTTAAATTTTGAATGAGTTTGATAATATAATTGCGTAAATGGCTTCCAAATAAATATTATTTTGATAAACTTTAAAATTTACAATAAAAATATTTTGCAGTAAATTAAATGATTTCCATATTTCTCCATTAACATTAAACTGCTTTTATGGAAAAAAATTAATATTTTGAATAAAAAGCATTTAAAACAACTTAAACACCAAGCCTTTTAAGAAGATATTTAAAAAAAAAAAGTTTAAAAACTTTATTTAATTAATATTTTTATTAAAACCTTTTCATTTTTATAAGGATATTTATGTTTTCATTTGTACATTTTAATATATACAATTTTTATTTAATAAATATTTTAATAACAAATATTTATTAAAGATTTTAATAAATACAAATTTTATCATTGAATAAACTCTGATATAAATTTATTATGTAAATTTTAACGAAATTCAGATTAAAAAAGCATTAGACAAATTTGTAATGACATCAAACATTAAATGTTACAAAATGATACATCAAATGAAACTAAAAACTAATTTAAAGCGTTATCTCTTATAAAAATAGATAGCTTGCAACTAATATAATGACTGATTCGATAGCTTACAACAAATATAATGGCTGATTCGATAGCTTTCAACAAATATAATGATTAATGCAATAGCTTTCAACAAATATAATGATTGATGCAATAGAATGCAGCACTAGATTTACAAACAATGCCATTCTTATTTTCATTCTAAAATCTGTCTGGGTAAGCAGCTCATTTGTCTCTCAATGCCTGAGGGCCAGGGATGGGTTTTGTCACTCGCCAAGGAGGGGGCTAAAAAGTTTTTTTTTTTAAAAAAAAAAGATCCGTATATTTTCATTAAAAAAATAAAAAGATCCACATATTTTCATTTATAAGTAACTTTCTTTTTTAATATTTTGTACTTTGTGTTATAATCAAGTTCATATATGTATAATACAATAATTACATTTAATAGTCAATTTCATTCGTCAGTATAGTAGTCTAATTTACAAAAACCTGCCATGTTATAAGCTTTACTCATTTATTCTTGCCATGTGCTGTTATAAGAACACATTTATTCTTGACATGGCAACAGTAAACTTTTGTCTACTTTTTTTAACTTTAAAGAAGATTAATTTTTTTATTTTAATCAATCTTTAGACGTATCTTTTGAAGTAAATTAAATTTCTTTGTGTATGTTGAATTTTTTTTTTTTTTTTTGCATTTAATTTTAGTTGTATGTCTGTAATTGTCTGTAAATGTACAATGCTTACATACAAAATTGATACAGATTGTTACCACATGAATTTTATAAAAGTTTTAGTTGACGAAAAACTGTAAAACATTGAACATTTACTTTATCTAATATAAAGATTTTTCTAATTTCCTAATATGTAATAAATAATATATCTTTTTTAAAGATATTTCTATTACCTTTAAAAAATAAATATTATTTCTTCACAAAATTATTTATATATTACCTTATCATTTTACTAATAATGTATTATTCATTATTTGTAAAAAAGATTTTTTAAATTTACATTAAAAACTATTCATGCATTTTAACAAAAATACATAATTTAAACTATACAAGTTAATTGTATAGTTGTAAAATTGTATAGTTGTAAAAATACAAACAAATACATTACCTCAAAATTTAAACTTTCTTTTATTTTAGACAATGGAACTAGCAACATCAATGAATCTTTAGGCAATAAGAGATATGTCATGTAAACAGCACCTGGACAATTTTTCTAAATAATAAGAGATATGCTTGGCAAATTTTTCTAAATAACAACATGTTCATCAAAGTTAACACAAACCAAAAAATAGTATATTAATATTGATATTCCATTAAACAATATCCCTGCAATTCTAATTGCCAAAGAACATTTTTAAATATTCAACATTTAAAATATTATTTTTAAATTGAACATTTTTAAATATTCAACATGTATGTTGTGCTTTTTGTTGCTAATAACTTTTTATTTAAGAACTGCTATTATTATGAAGAGCAACCATTGAAGTAGGATCATATATATCTTTGTATATAAAAATATTAAATTATTGTAAAAAAATGTTTTGAAAATAGTTAAATAAATTGTCTTGAAAAAATAAATCGTACAATATCAATATCATACTGCTTGATTATATTGATATAATGACTGATGCAATAGAATACAACAAATATGTTTTTAAAACCACAATTTTTTTGTTGTTACTTAAATGGAATGCATTTCATCACAAAAGTGGAGCTTTTCTTAAAAAACACCTTAATGTTTAATTTACATTTGTTTGTTCAAATGTTTATGCAGCAGATGACAAATGACAATATCAGCAACAGCAGATGGCAACAGTAAAAGCATCCAATCAAACACTTACAGCAACTTTATTAGATGAATGTGTGAAAAGCCTTTAGAAGTTGTTGCTTCAATAAGATTTACAGAACTTTTTATAAATTACCCACATGACCCAAACTAAGAAATTTATAATAGATAGAATGGTGATGAATGCATTAGTGAGAAACTTAGCAACCTTAGGTTAATAGGATTAGCCGTAATCTCTTAGTCAATAATTTATCTTTTTATGTTTTGATGTTTTTATTTATTATTATATATTATTATTATATATTATTTTATTTATTATTATATATTATTAGTAATTATGTTTACTTGATAAAGCAAATGAAGCTTCAGTCTTAGCTCTAAAATTAAGTGTGTTTTTGTGGTATTCAATAAAATTCTGTTTAATTGAACTTTTTTTTTAAACTTATTTTTTAATTAAGTTTTTTAACAAGGTTTAACTATATATCTTTATATAAATGAGTCACATAAATTGGTTCAAAAAAAAAAAAAAAAAAAAAAATACACTGATGAGCAACTTAATGGTACAATTGCACAAATAAAATCTGGCAACTTATGTAAAACATTATTTATTTGTGGCATTCCAAAGATAACTATATTGTTTAGGATATAGAAAAAGTTCTTTAAATGTTAAAAAAAGTTATAAAACTTTAAAAGTTCTATTGACACTGGCACATTCATCATTTTAAGTTTTATTTACTGAATTAACATTAGTTGAAATGCTTTTTACTAGCTGATGGTGGTTACGGTTAAAATCACAAACAAGTACTTGTTGCTAGCTATGAAACAAATTAACTTATTTATGAACAATAAACCAGGAAAAGCTTGGTAAGTGAAGAAATGCCAAAATTAACGAAAAATGAGGGAGAATTCACCTGAGCTGGTAAATAGTCTGAAGACCTGAAGAATGGGAAAACTACAAAAAAATAAAAATTGATTTTAATGCTACACAAAGTAATCAGCCATTAGGTGGTCAGCCATTGGAGAGTCAATTGATGCAATAAACATTAGAGATTTAGTTGCTTTATTTCTATTAATTGCATAAATTTGATTGTATTGTTAATATTCCTAAGTTAAAAAGGCAGTCATTGTATAGTTGAACATTTTTCTTTATAAAATAAAATTGTAAATAAAAATTTATGTATTTGAACAATAATAATAATAATTTCTATAAATAATTCGAGTGTGAATGTTTCTTAACAAATCTATAAAAAATATATATACATAAAGTTTTTTTTCTGGGAAAAAAAAAATTCAATTCAATTAGACCAAAAATAAAAAATAAAATGAAAACAGACTGTTTCAATATTACCTGCAATGTTGAAATAGCTTTTCCTATGCATTCTATAATTGTCTGAGCATTGTTTATTTGTCTAGCGTCTATAACCAGTGATAATCCTTTTTTTTGAACACTTTCTCTAAATTAACATCAGATAAAGACACTATCAGGCATTTTAAACATTCTCTAATTAGGTGAATTGCCTTTAAATTTACTTAATTAAACTAATTCATAAATTTAAACTATTAACTTCAAAGAACACCTATTTAAAGACATCTTATATTAAACACTAGATATATGAGATATATGAATGTTTATCCTGAACTAATGAAACCATGGCAAGGGTCAAATTAAGTGATAGTGAATTGCGATATCTGGAAATGCAGCTATTGAGTTTTGTGATAAAAACTGTAAACTCTGTTTTTATCATAAAACTCAATAAAAATATCATTATAAAACAATGTTATTATTATTTTTATTATTGTTATTACAAATTTAATCTTCAATAGCTTTGATAAATCATCAGATAAAACAATACAAACTAATCTTAAAAATAAAACAACCTCAAACCACAATCGCCTAATGGAATTTAGCGTTGATCAAATATTTTAAATAAAAGAAATCAAAACTACTTTTATATCTTATTTATACCTAGTTCAATATCTCTTATAATACAAATACTTAAATGCTGATAACCCTAACACAGATATTTATATAAAACTAAAGAAGAGTTTAAAAACATATTAAAACTAATTTAAACCACATATAGTTACTTTAAAACAAATTCTTATAACGTATTTTAAATTATATTATATGATGAAATTACTTTTCATTAGAAACAGTTCACAGCTTTTAATGAGAATGATAATTTCAAGAAGCAATTAATGATCACTTATTTTGCCCCTTGCATGAAAACCAAATACCTTGGAATTTTATTGCTTGGAAAAATACCTTGGAATTTTATAATAATACATAAGTAGTTTTGCAACTTCTTCGCTATCTACTTTAATATTTTCCCAACTGGTTTCACTAGTATCCAAAAAAATAACAGAACCACCACGTTTATCTCGACTTCCAGGAAGATAAGCCTGATTATGCAACAACTCAAAGTTCACATCTAATACCATCCCAGCACTAAGTGAGCCTTCATTCCAAAGTTCAATTGAAAAAGATTTTGAGTGGACTATATTGAAAATAAAAGTCATTAATTTTTACATACACTTAAACATAATTTATAAAAATCATGTTTAAGTGTATAAAATGACGAAAATAAACCAATAAAATATATATAACATTATCAAATCCCTATCTTCTGAAAGAAGAAATTGATTTAAAAACTGAGTTAACTTAAATAAGTTTCAACCAAATTAATTTTTTGAATTAAAAAATTCATAAGGTTGGTTAATTAAATTGACAACTTCTATTTATCTGTATTTAATCTTTCAAAATAGAAAAATAATTCTTGCATCTTCCACAAAAAAAGCAGAAAAATTAAAAAAAACTATTGTCTATATGACTGGATACGTAAAAAGGAAGTTAAAATTGAAGCTAAAATTGAAGGTAAAATTGGTGTGAAAATGTTAGTTCTTATTTTATAAATTAGTTAAAATTATTGGTTAAGATTATTGATAGTTTGCGTCATTAATGGAAAAGCCATAACAGAAATCCTGTATGAAAACTTAAGAAAATTTGTTGGAGGGGTTGATGTCTCTATAGAGATAAACATTTAAAATATTTTTTATATACTTTAAAGATGTACCAAAAATCATAACTTGTATAAGATTTTTTTAAGTTAATATCATATATTTACATTTATATTTATAAATTAGAAGATCCACCCCAGATATGGCAACAGTATTCCATACAAGGCCGGATTTGAGATTTATAGAGATAGAGAATAGAATCGAGAATAAGAAAGTGATGAGCTCGATAAAGAGAAGCGACTTTAGCAGATGCTAATTTTGCAACGGATTTGATATAAGGTTTCCAAGAAAGATCAGAAGTAAGAGTTAATCATCGAGTACATTACTGTTAATAAATATAGGAAGGTCTAAATTATTGTGATAACGATCGGCTGAAAAAAATTTAGTTTTATCTGAATTAAAGTTCACCAGCCACTGTGAGCCCCATGCTGTAGCAGAAGTGAGATCCTTTTCAAGCTCAGATGCCCCCTGCAAGCAATCAGAGGGAGTTGGCTTCTTATTGTGACAAGAATAAATGGTAGTATCATCAGCGAACAATGCCACCTTAGATGTGAGAAAATCTGGAAGATCGTTAATGTAAATTAAAAAGAGTATAGGGCCAAGGATTATACCTTGAAGAACCCCTGAGGTTACTGAATAAGAAGAAGAGTGCTGTCCATCAAGGACAACTTTTATACTACAATTGGAAAGGAAGGATTCGATAATCTTAAAGATGTTTCCAGATACACCGTAAGAAGAAAGCTTATGGAGAAGACCAGCATGCCAAACTTTATCAAACGCCTTAAAAATCTCAAGAGCGATGGCCTTAACCTCTTCACCTTTATCTAATGCGCGATAAAACCTATCGGTTTATCGCGCATTAGATAAAGGTGGAGAGGTTAAGGTTATTATTAGTTTATTACTGTTAGCAAATCAGCCGTAGAACGAGAAAATCGAAATCCATATTGATGATCAGAAAGTAGGTTATGAGATTCGAGATGAGAGATTAAGTGTTTGTTAATTAAAGATTCAAAAACCTTGCTTATGATAGGAAGAAGACTAATGGGACGGTAGTTAGACTAATCAGATCACTCTCCAGAATTTTAAAAAATAGGGATAACAGATGCTGCTTTCCAGCAGGCTGGAAAACAAGACTCTGATAAGCACTTGTTAAATAGTTTTGAAAGGATAGACAACAGCTCCAGAGAACACTTCTGCAAGACTATAACAGGTATGTTGTCCGGGCCACAAGCTGTAGAAGAGTCTAAGCGGGAAATCACTTTAGATACAGAAGCTGGAGTGATACAAATGTCGAGCAATGGATCAACCTGTTTGACGGCTATATCAGGTAGAACAAAACTAGTGGAATCCAGAGATGATATTGATGAAAAGTTCTTGGCAAACAGTTCAGTCTTGTCTTTAGGTGAGGTGACAAAGTCTGAACCATACAAAGGAGGTAGAATTACAGACTTGCCCTTATTATTGATACTATCAAAGATTCTCTAGAAGTCACGAGAGCCTAATTTTTATGATGATATACGAGATTTCATGATCTAAGAATAGCGGGCTTTGGCATTAGACAAAACCTTTTTACAATGGTTCCCAGCAGTAATAAACAGACATCTGTTTTCCGGAGAATTGTTTTGCTGATAGACATGGAAGTAATGGTTTCTATTAGCAATTACAGCAGCACAATGTGAGGAAAACCATGGAGAAGAGTGAGGCTTGACCTGGAATCGTCGAGAGGGAATAAAGGATTCCATACCAGCCTGAATCCACGAAGTTATGTAAGAAGCACATTTGTCAACAGGAAGACGAAAGATTTCTACCCAGACGCCATCACGAAGAAAATCACGGAAAGAGTCCCAGTCAGCTTTAAGGTAGTTGTAAGATGTACAATGATAGGGGGATTCTGATGGTAAAGAAGAATGAGATAATAGTTTTAGAGAGACCAAACCATGATCAGAAGCACCTAAGGGTGAGTGTGGTGAAACTGAGCACTGACTAGGATTAGAAACAAGATATAAGTCGAGTAAAGAAGGTAAATGATTCAGGTTGTCTGGAAAGCAAGTTGGAAAGTTGACTATTTGAGTTAGGGATTGAGAAAGGCAAAAGTTGTGGGCCTTAATGCCTGCAGAGTCACTGACACTAGAGCCAAGCCATTCAGTGTGATGAACATTAAAGTAACCGACAACAACAATATTGGCTGATGGATAAAGAATGAGGGCTTGATCAATATAATCAGATATAACATCAAGAAGAGTGCAGTCTTGAGATGAAGGAGAGCGATATAGGACAAAGAGAAAGGTGATAGAGTGAAGTGGTGCTAAACGAAAGCACATAATAGAGTAGTCTGTGGATTCAAACCTAGTTTCCTGACAAATGGGTGAATTCTTACAAATGTAAATGCCCAGGCCAAGCAATTGACTATTGGAGTCTTTAGGAATTAAAGGAAAATAACCATCAACACTAAGATCACAAGATGAGACAGCTGAACTCAAATTAGTCTCACAAAAAGCAAGTAGGTCTGGTGAAATTTGCAAGAGATAAGACTCAACAGAAGAAAAGTTACTTCGAACACCACGAATATTGGTGAATGATAGGTTTAGCGAACTTGGTGATGTGGTTTTTTGTGTTTTATAGTTTTTGTTACTTTATTCATTTTTAAATTTGTTAAAGGGATCCCAAACTCCCAACACATGTTGTGTTCATATTAAGGATAATGTTAAAAAAAAAGGTTTGAACCAATTTTTTTTGATTAAAAATAAATAATGAATGCATACCGAGAAAAACAAATGTTGTTGTTTTTTGCCGAAGCTCGTCTTCTCCATTTTTTCAACTAATCGGAGTCTTCAAATTATGCGTCGCAATCTACAGACTTTAGCAATCCCTTTGAAGCGAGTTTAATTCATAAAAGTTTTAGTATTTGACGTCACGGTAGACTTTTAACAAAAGAAAGTGTAATTAAACTAAGCTGCGTTTTTCTACTGTAGTATTTTTTTAACATACAGCAAAACAAATTTATTTGTATTATTTTTGCAAACATCGCAAAAAAAATTTTGTAAAAAGTAAAAACAATAAATTATTTTTATGTTATAGGAGCAACTTATTTTTTACAGATATCTTAATAATTTTCAGATTTATATATCTTACTTATATTTCTTTAATTATTTAAATTAAAACAAATATTAAAGCTTTACTTACCCATCTCATGATTTTCATACGAGTATTTTACATTATATAGAATGTTTTATATACGGTCTCTTGTTTTTGCGCAAGAGAGCGCAGTATTATATATTCAGATTCTTAATTATTTTTATTTAAACAATGGGAACTATTTTCTAATTTCTCTGGTTATTTTTACGTCATGTCAATTTTTTGTTTTTCCGTTGAAAAAAAAAATTTATTAACATTTACTTTCATAAACTGACAGTATTAATTAGAGATATTTAATAAATTGTTAACTTTTTTTATTATATAATTTTTTTGATCACGCTGATTTAATTTAAATTGTTAAATTTGCTGAATTGGATACGATAAAAAGGAAATACCATTTTATTTTACATTTGATTTTTGATAATGAAATTTTTAAAATGTCAGCAACTCCATACCAATTAGAACCTGTTAAGATTATGAAAAAAAAGTACAAGAATACACTAAACAATACAGTTGACAGTAGTATCAGATATGAAAATTCGTGAAAGGATTTGTGAGATCCTAATTTTGCATTAAAAGTACAATTAATTGCAACACAAGTCGGCATTATAAATTTTGATTATAAGTTTACTGTTCAATATTTTATAACCATCAAATAAAAAACATGAAGTTTGTATATATTTGCCGTTTTATACAAATAATATTTAACAAAAATACGGACAAATTATTATTAAATAACGCAATAATTAACACATTAATTAAAGGCAATAATTCAAGATAGATGGTAATTTAAATTGTTAAAATGTCGTAACGCGCATTAAAAAACATATTATATTTGGTATTTCCAAATTTGTGTCGTAATTGGCATTTGTCTCTTAACATGAAAAATTAAAAATTTTTAAAAACACAATTAACAAATACAAATTTTCAAGCAATTTTCTTTTCCAATTCTCATTTATTTAAAGAAAATTTACTGTTAAACTTTTATTTCTCTCATCTAAAAAAAGAACGAGTGAAGCAAAAAAAATATATATTCTATACAACTCTTATTCATTCAAAGTTTAATTGCGCGAAACTTTTCTTTCTCTTTTGTTCTACTCAAAAGAGCTCTTTTTATAAAAATAAAAAGAGCGCGCAATGAAATAAATACTTTTCTTTTTTAACATATAATTATAGTTTGAGATAAAATTAAATTAAAAATAAATCAACAATGAGCAAAGCAACGAACAGATTAATCTGGAACTATTTTGATATTTATGAAAATAATCAACATTACCGACAACAATTACAAACAACACAATCTCGCATAATTTTAGCGGCATTTTATTTTTATTGCTTAGTCGCTCTAAATAATAAGTAAATTTAGTTCAAGTTAATAATTCAATATTTACAGTTGCGATAGAATAAAGAAATGGTGTTTAATACTGAACTTTTTATTTAGTTATTAATTTTTTTTTACCTACGTTTGTTATAAAAAACTTTATAACACTCGTCATTAAAATAATTTGTTTTAAATATATTTTGACGTGATTATTCAAACTAATTTTTTTCGTTTGACTTTCCGAACTTCATGCAAAGCAAATTGAAACGAAATATCGTCTAACCAAATAAAAAAGCTGTTACTAATTTTATACGGGTAATTAATGTAAAACAATTTTTGAGATAATAAATATTCATAATTTATAAACATTAAATTATGGCGCAATTTATAGCAACGAACCAGCGTAAAATATTTAAGGTTTTTAATATCTTTTTAAATATTAAAAGTAGGAAAAAAAAAAAAAAAATCAAACAAATAATCAAAAAAACTTTGACTAAAAATAAATAAAAATATTTCTCATGTTTCTTTTGTTAAAAGTCTACTGTGACGTCAAATACTAAAACTTTTATGAATTAAACGCGCTTCAAAGGAATTGCCAAAGTCTGTAGATTGCGACGCATAATTTGAAGACTCCGATTAGTTGAAAAAAATGGAGAAGACGAGCTTCGGCAAAAACAACAACATTTGTTTTTCTCGGTATGCATTCATTATTTATTTTTAATCAAAAAAAATTGGTTCAAACCTTTTTTTTTAACATGTGTTGGGAGTTTGGGATCCCTTTAAAGAACTTGACTCGAAACATAGATAGTACTCAGTACACTGTTTTATAGTCCAAGCAATTGCCTCATTTCCACTAATAAACCCTAAGCCGTAACAAAGGGCTCCAATGGGGCCTTGGCAATGCATACCTAAAGTACAAACAGGGACACCATCCATGCGCAACATGGCACTGTTAGTACTCTGATATTTTTCAGCTGTTGATGGAATCAGCCTCTCTGAGAGCTACCACAGAGTTCAGGAAACCTGACTACCAGCCGGCCTCAGAACCATAAAACTGAGTTTTAGAGCTGTACCCTCATTTGGAGATAATAGAATGAGTTGCCTAGTCATAAAAACAGAGACACAAGCAAAATCCATGCATCGAGTCAAGAAGATCCAGCGTTCAACATCCTAAACTGGAAACAATGTATTAAAAATACATCTGCGCCAGCCTAATAGATGGAGAAAGGGTGCGAGGCTGGTCAACAGATAGTTTTACTCAACCAAAAGCCCCAAGGCAAGGGGTGTTTTATGTCGGAGTTTGCATCTCCTAGCCTTTGACTAAAAAAGCATAAGCTACAAGGCAGCAGGACATGAAGCAGATTGTACTGGGTTACATGTTACCAGTAGCAGGATAAACCTGACCTGACAATAAATATATATAAATATATATATGTATACATAAATATATATAGGTATATATAAATATATATAAGTATATATAAATATATAAATGTATATATAAATATATATACGTATAAATAAATATATATGTGTATACATAAATATATATATGTATATATGCATATATATCAGTATATATACGTATATATAAATATATATATATGCATATATATAGATTTATATGTATATATAAATATATATGCATATATATGAATGCCGTTGGATGCGCAATATAAATATATGCTATGTAAACATGTATGAGATAAATTTATATCATAAGTTGAAAAAACGAAACTCTTGAGCATTGCTAAATGATTGATAGGCGCATAAAAAATTAAATTCATCAAATAATGTCATAAAAATAATGGCATGTGATTATTTGTAAAACCTTTCATTGTTTTCAAAAATAAATTGTTTAATGTTATGTCATGACAGAATACTTAACAAATGAATAATATTTAACAAACAAACTTGAAGTTCCCTTGAATCTTTTTAAATAAACAAAAACAAAATGGTAATATAAACAGTACTAAACACAATACTTATTTCACTACATTCATTGTTCAATTTTTACTCAATATATCTCATCACGTTTTGTCTTCAATATTTCTTACTATGTTCAGTATATCTCACTTTGTTTCGTCTTCAATATTTCCTCTTATTAAATTTTTTGATTAAAAAGAATAAATGCATACCAAGAACAACTATTTTTTTTGTTTTAGTTAAAGCTCACCTTCTTTGTTTTTAAATAGACCAAATAGTCTTCATAATATACGCCTTAATCTACAGACTTGATAAATTATTCAAGTGTGTTTTATTCCTAAGAGTTTTAGTAAATGACATCATTGGTTTTTTTTAAAAGATTTTTTTAAACAAAAAAAATCAATGATGTCAAAAAAATCTTGTTTGGATCTTAGAGATTTTTTTGTTTTGTTTTAATAAAAAAAATTCAGCCTAAAATTTTTATATCATTCTCTTTAATATGAACATAACATGTCTCATATGAACATAGCATTTAAGATCCTTTTAAACAGTTAAATATAAACATCTTAAATCAAACAGATTTTCTTTAAAGCTACTGACTGGTCGAATAAATTGCGAATCCACAGGCCTCCAATGCATGGAGGGAAATTCAATGGCAATCAATGTCGACAACTCTTGAATAAAATTGACTTGCTTGAATCATTATTAGTAAGTGTTAAAATTGGATTACAAGAAACAAAAACAATTGCTGCTTTCAGAGTTTTCAATGAAGTTGTAAAATCATGCTTTGGTAATTGTCTAAATCTCAAATACAAAGCTATGTCTTTATTTGAAATTGCATAAAGAGTTCTTGGATTTTTAATCACTCTAAAAATACATGCTGTTATTCAGCACATCACCCAATTTATTGAAAAACCGGCCAAAAACCATGACATAGACCAACAAAATAAACTTTCAAATGCTCAGAAGAATTTTTCAAAAAGACTTGACTTTTATAGTAAACAAGAACCAGAATCTGTTTATTATAATTTTATTAGGCTACGGGAATCTGGTGCCTATAAAATAGATTTTAATTGTCTGGAATACAGCACAAAATTCCAAGAACCCTGACTAGATAATTGTATAATTTATATAACCGTAATTACGGTTATATAAATTATATAATTATATAACCCTGACTGGATAATTATATAATTTTACTTTGCTTACCTCCAAACAGAAGTCACGCATTACAACCTCTTGGTGTTGGTTTTTTTGCTCTGTTGAAATGATTTATAAAGAAATTCCCTAAAAATTGGGTAAGAGAATGCAGATATAAAATGTTAAGTCTGTATTTCCTACTAGGTTAAGCACTTTTATCAATAGTGGTAGAGGTACACTCTTAGTGGTAGAGGTACACTCTTAGTAGTAGAGATATACTCTTAGTGGTAGAGGTACACTCTTAGTGGTAAAGATACACTCTTAGTGGTAGAGATACACTCTTAGTTGTAGAGGTACACTCTTAGTGGTAGAGATACACTCTTAGTGGTAGAGGTACACTCTTAGTAGTAGAGGTAAACTCTTATCAATAGTGAACTAAAAAAAAAAGGTTTCAATGTAAATATAAGACTGCTATGTCTTATACAATTACACATCTGAAGTGCAATGAACAAAAGTCTATTGAAGATCTAATGAAAAAGATAATCACTCAATTTTTCAGCAAAAAATGTTGTGACCAGGTTACAAGAAGAAGAGAAGAGAAAAAGATTTAAATAAAAGAAAAAAAAAGAAAAAAAAAAAGAATATTTGCAATACCGGGAATGTATATTCATATTACTCCTACCATATTATTAAGTTGAATGTAAAAAACACCTTGAATGTAAAAAAAAAGTTCAATAAATTTTAATTACGGTTATTAAATAAAAAATTATTTTATACTCAAAATAAAATCTAAAACCTTATATCACCTCACTATACCTAATAACCAAGTTATTAGGTATAGTGGGGTGATAAAAGGTTATTTTATATAGTGAGGTACATAATATACCCCACTAAATAAAATAACCAAGATTTAAATTATTAGAGAGAACTTGACTCAAATATAGACAGTATATGACACCCTAAGCAATAAGGTTAGCAGTTGCTTCATGCTTTCTAATCACCCCACTGTCAAGATAAGCAAGCAACTTTTTTGACTTCTAATCACCCCACTGTCAAGACAAGCAACTTCTAAGTGATAAAGAGAAAGTGGTAAACTTATTTTGCTGACTGTGTATGAATAGTACAGAGTGTCTATAAACTTATTATGAACTTACTCACAGATTTGGATAATACTAATAATACTAACAAAATATTTTGAGATAATAAACCCCTCTCAGTCATAAGTTAACTAAAAATTTATTACACTTTTATTTTTCTTTACACATTTATCATTATCATTTTGTCACTAAATGTTGACTTACTAAAAAGTAGACTTACTAGCATGGTATTAAGCAAATATAATTTACAAGTCTTTTATTTCATTCATATAACTCTTATCATTTCATATCCAGAATGACTATGACCCCTTCTGTTAATAATTACTTTTTCTTTACTTCACGTTAGAAAAAGTTTACCAAAAACCAATCGTTTGTGCAGCACCAATACAATTATTGACTGGGAACTAGTTAACTTGAACTCAATCATTATTTTTGTCAAATAATTAAAGACTGCATACTACTTTTATGAAAGATATTTTGGAAACTCATAATATTTATGTTTACAGGGCCTTGTTTTGTATATTGACACTTTTAAAAAAAAGTTATCTAACAAACCTGGTGAACTTTCTTCACTATGCATTAAAAGAAGCTTATCCCATGAAATTCTTTCAAAATCATTTTCATTCCAAATAATACATTTTAAGTAGTTGCAGTTATCAGTGATATTCAACATTTCAATCCAGTTTTCGGAAACCATTAAAACACAATCTGCACTTGATAATGTTATTGTTTTATAAACTCCATTTAAATAATAGCGTAATAGTAATGTTCTTGGTGAAGTTTCAGCAATATAAACACAAAAATCTCCTGAAAATATATCAGCATTTATTTCGTAAGGATGTATAGCATACTTAACAATATTTTCAAAACGCTGCAACCATGGATGTGGTTTTAGAGAAGTTGTGCAATAATATTCCTAAAGCAATAAAAAAAATTTCAAGTTTATTTATAAAATCAATAATTTTTTGTTATCATAACTTGCTTTTGCTAAAAATTTAAAATTGATACTATTAAGTCTTTTATGGGTCATTCCAGCTCAAATCAATTTATGCTTGGCACCATGCCTTCTCAGATTTTGCTGATTTTTGGAATACAAGCTTGAATTAATAAAAGAAAACTTTACTCCAAATTTTAGCGTCTGACTTCTTACGGTTTCAGAGATATTGATACTTGGTCCCAATTTCTTTTTTGCCTATTTTTTCAGCGCTATTTATTTTTTAGGCTCATTGCATGACACAATTAGCTTTAACTTATGAAATACTTGTTAATAGTGGTCAAAATTTCTACCTAACTTTTTAGTTTTGGCAAAAACACACAAAAATTTAAGCTTTTTTATGAAAATTCAACTTCAAAATGGTGTAACACTTTTTGTAAGTTTTTTGATGCCCTGTACAAAAAAATGTTTATCTCAAAATGCCTAATAGATAAAATTCTGAAATTTTTTCCTAATGTTCTATATGTAACAAACTCCATAATAATAAAAAAAAAATTGCAGGGGTTTTATTTTTTAAATTAAATTTATTTGCATTTAAAGTTTTATTTAAAAAATTAAAAAAAACTGTTATTCAATAATGAAAAAAAATAATTTGCATAAATTTTTTGCATTTTTAAAAAGATTTTTAGAATCTTGCTGTCTAAGGTACAATTTTAATATATAAACATGTTTGCATTTCACATAAAAGATCTTTATTTTATGCAATTTTAAGTTTAATAGCTAAATGATTTTCTATTTTGGAATCTTTAAACAATAATTATTTTAAAATTGTTTCTTTACATAACTAAAAAAATAATATAACAATATGAATGATAAAGAAAGATGTTCAATTGTAATAATAAATAAAGAAATTTGTAACAAACAAACAATCCCATGATATCAAGAAAGTTTCAAGTCTTAATGATGTAGAAAAAGACTTGAAAATTAGTCGTTTTGGTAATCAATTTGATAAAAAATGCAATGGCTTGATAAAAATGCAATGCCTACACCATAAATCTGTTTATGTAACTCCACATTTTACTCCACAATCCACATAACTTGTTGTGATCCATTTAATTCACACAATGGAAAAAGAAGAAAAGACATTATTACTTAACTATGAAATTTTTTTAAACTTTATTGTAATTATATATAAATTATATATATTTTTGCAAAATACTCACTGAAGTAGTAATTATCACTCATGTTTTTAGGAGGATGTAAAGAAATTAATATGCAACTTGCTGGGAAATTAAAAATATTGGTATTAATGTTATTTCTGGAGAAAAGATATGTCCCTCATGTATGATTAAATTGATGTCACTTAAGAATGATAAACAAAGAGAACCAACTTGTAGCCAGATTTATGAAGATGAAGATAATGAACTTAATATAAGCAAATTGTTAAAAAAAATCTTAAATCTTCTTTGAGGTCTATGAATATAAGTCCTCTTAAAATGCATGCTGTAAATAGTCACTCAAAAGTTGCTATTGGCAACAAAAAAAATTGTTACATGTTCAAAAAACAGTTAAGTTAGGTATTGCAAGGACTTTAAATATAGATCCTGAACAGTTAAGTAAAGAAGATTCCTTCAATAAATTATTTAAGGAAGTTAAAGGTAAAGCAAATGGCATGGATATACTTATTAGAAAAATCAAAGAAAAAATGTTAATTTCCAATCATAATCAGAAAATTCATCGACTAACACTGGTTCCAACTTCTTGGTCTCACAAAGATTTAGAAAAAGAATTTAATGTTACTAATTATATGGTGCAGATATCACGCAAATTGCTGCAGAAAAAATGGCATTTTGTCTTTTCCTGAAAAAAAAGAGGAAAGGAAATACCTCAAGAAACAGTAGATTATTGAATTATTGAATTTTATTGTAATGATGAAAATAGCTAATGTCTGGTAAAAAAGATTTTGTTAGTATAGCTCAAAGATCTCACATGCAAATGTGTTTGATTCTTTCAAATCTAAAAGAGCTATATGCAAAGTTTAAAACCTGTTATCCAGATATAAAGAGTTGTTCATCTAACTTTTGCTCACATCTTCCAAAATGGTACATTACAGTAGGAGCATCTGGTACGCATACAGTATGCGTGTGTACCTACCATCAAAATGTTAAGTTAATGATTAGGGCAGTTAAATTATCAAAGGATTATCACGAGCTTATTGATATGCTTGTTTGTAGTAGGGCAAACAAGACTTGCATGATACATTCTTGCCCTTTTTGCCCAGAAAATTTTACAATAGTACATTAACTTAAAAATGAGTTGCACTCAAGACGATATTGATGAAGATGATGATTATTGTATAGATTAAAAACCATGGAAAACAACAGACCGATCTGAGCTAATAAGTCTCACAGAAACGACAAGTAGCTTTATTAATACTTTGCAAAATAAGTTACAAAAACTTACAGTTCATTCTTACATTGCAAACAGTCAAGCTGCTTTTTTAAGAAAGTTAAAAAATGAGTTAAGTAGTACTGAGGTCATTGTCCTTTGTGATTTCTCAGAAAATTATGAGTTTTGTTTTATAAGACGAAATACAAAGTTTTCACTTGAACAAAATTCAAGCAACATTGCATCCAACAGTAATTTATTATAAAGAAAATAATGTCATCAAATGTGATTCAATATGCTTTATCTCAGATGATTTACAGCATGATGTAGATATGGTTTATTATGTGATGAAGCTAACAATTGAACATATTAAAAGCAATATTTCTCATCAAATAGAAAGTGTCCATTACTTTTCAGATGGGTGTGCTGGCCAGTACAAGAACTGCAAACACTTTGTAAATATATGCCACCATGAACAAGATTTTGTTATGAAATGTACATGGTCTTTCTTTGCAACAAGTCATGGTAAATCACCCTGTGATGGTATTGTTCAATGAAGACTAGCAATTGAAGTTAGTCCGCAAGACTAACTTCAATTGCTAGTCTTCATTGAACAACAACAAATCATATTCTTGATTGTTGAGTTCTTCACCCTAAAAAGTAGTTAGGTAGAAATTTTCATCACTATTTGACAAGTATTTCATAAGTTAAAGCTAATTGTGTTGTGCAATGAGCTTAAAAAATAAATGGCGTTGAAAAAAGAGGCAAAAAAGAGATTGGAACCGAGTATCAATATCTCTGAAACCGGAGTTAATTTTTTCTCTTTCATTATATTAAGCTTGTGCTCCAAAAATCAGCAAAATCTGAAATAGTATGGTGCCGAAAATTTAAATTTTAGTTGATTTGACATGGAATGACCCCTATTTTAATTTCAAGCAAGCACATGAAAAAGCGCTGGCCATGTGATCACTTGTCATAAACATTGAAACTTTGCTTTATATTGATTTTTACCACAATTGTTTAAAGCATTCGGATTAAAGATAATAATATGATACGGACTTCAAATAAAGAAAGTTAATAATTCAAATTTAATAATATTTATAATAAATAACAATAAAAAACAGAGTTTTTTAAATCCAATTCTTCAAAACAATTATTCAAAAGTTTGTTTTTTAATATACAACAAACACTATTACTAAAGTAACTACGAAAACACAATTAAACTTTTCTATAAATTTTTTTTATAAGCATTTTTTTCCTTATTAAGTAAGAAGTAATCAACTAGGGCTCCATTCAGGCTAAAATAACAAAAGTCAAAATTTTTTTTTGTACTTCAAAAATTAAGGTGCAAGGTGTAAAATAAATGAAAAGAAAAAAAAAATTCCGTTTAAGTAAAAAAAACTTACTATTCGTAATCTCATAAAATCAGAAAATCTCAATTTTCATAATCTCAAATTATAAAATTTTAAACACTATATGTAGTTGCAATTATTAGGGATATGCTACCAAATAATTAATAGTCTCTCCAAAAAATTTAACTTTTTTTTAACTTTTATCAGACAACAACATTTTTGATGAAAGAGAGAGGTTAATAAAGGGTAGATTCAAAAAATAGGTGGCATAACTTGAAAATGTTTGACCCCTACATTAAAAAAAAAAACTTTTAACAAGACTGCAAGCAAAAAATTAGTAAGTTGGGACAGAAAACAAAGAGAGATAAGAACAAGTGATTGACAGAAGACTTTAAAAACTGTAAATTGTATGATTCAGGAAACATGAGGACAGGAGAGAATTAAAAAAAGAAAAGAGAAAAATGTTTGAGGAGAAAAATTAGAAAAAGTTCAGTTTTTAAGCTCAAACATTTCCTTAAAATGAAGGAACAGAAAATCAAGCTAGGCAGCTAGAGCAGGTTCAACAACAATGCATTTTTGGACCTTGCTAAAAGAAAGACACCTCTTTAGAAAAACCAACCAAAATATGAGAACAGTGTTCCAGACTAAGACAAATAAGAGAATAATAAAGAATAGAGGCAAAAAATAGATGCCTGGCAATAGACAAGATCCATGGTTTCCATAAGAAAAAGGTGTTCTTAAAAAAAGTGAAATAGAGGACTCAAGGGTTGTTCAAAATTATTGTTCTGAATCTCAATAGTCTAATGTGAAATTTTATTTTTCAAGCAAAAATTTAATCCTTCTCCCCCTCACACACAGGTTTGAGAAATACTCTGGAATGTTCTATTACATTACATAAGATTCTAAAGGTACCATAATATTTAAGTAAGATCCAAAATATTTAGGCTGTTCAAAGAGCATTGGAAAAGATTCTGAAACCTACAAGAACATTTAGAAACTTTCCAGATCATTCTGGAATACTATATAACTTCTGGAGCCTACTTTTAGACACTAACCAGAAAATTCTAAAACCTTCCAAAACCTGTCAGTAAGTTTTTAAAGGCAAGAATATCATCAACTGTTAAGGAAGATACTAGAATGTTATGAAAGATAATGGGAGGTTCTGGTAAGATTCTGAAAATTTTTCAAACTAGAAGAATGTTTTTAAAGGTTCTAGAAGGATCACAATCTGGAAAGTTTTAG